TCTCCTTGGTGGTCGTCGGGGGAGTACACTTGTTGTGTACTGGCGCTATCTCGAAGTGTGTTTACACACACACCATCATTTACACACACACAGCATCACACACAAATCTCTTTTATGTATCTCTTTCTTCTGTATTTTTTTTTTTGTTGTTGTTTCTTTCTTCATGTTTTCTTTCAAGTCCCACTGGTCTCTTTTACGAAAAAGTCGCAAAAGTAACAGAAAAGTCGGGCCCGCTCCTATCGGACCGTGAAAGGAAAATTGCATCCCACAACTCCGAAAAGAATGGCCCTTTTACAGGCATCTCGGCCCAATAATGTGGGAGGGTGGCGGATCAACGGAGGAAAGGAGGGAGTGACGGGAAAAAAAAATAAAAAAACAACAACAAAAAGCAGATCCAGCTTTTTCGCGGACGGGTACGGGGCCACCACTCCTCCCATTTCCCTACTACTTTTTCGCCGCCGTTCATTCCCAGTCCGCCACGACAACAAACGTTTCCACTTACCTCCGAACTCGACAGTGCCGCCTACGACTTCAGAGCACCGTGGGATCTCGAAAAATCGACTTTACTACATACAATATGTAGTGTGGGATCAGACCCTAAGCGAGAACAAATAACACAGCTCAGTTGATGTAGCATTATTGCCACAAAAAATAATGCTACAAAAAAAAAAGTGCCCTGTGGTATGAGGCTGTTGGCTAGAACTTAGAATCCTTGACCGTGCAAGAAAAAAAATCTGCACTGACATCAGAGGGTGTCGAGCAGCGCACCATTTGCATACCAGGGTCGCCACGTGTTGGGGTGCTGGGATTAAGGGGGGGTTATGGCACGCCACCGGCATGGGGCGTCAAGGCGCAGTCATCTTCCGCGCTATGCACAGAATACAATTGTCTACAGATGATAAACTACCGTAGATGGAGCGTGGCGTCTCGAGAGAGGACGGGGGGGGGACTTAGCAACCTTCCATGTGAGTGGTTACCTACCTACCTTCTTCCCCCGAATACAACGTATGGTCATTATAGCTGGATCTGGGATTTCTTGCAGTCTAAATTCAGCTATAATGACCGGACATCGTATTCGGGGAAAGACTGCAGGGGACTTCCTGTTGAGGCTGAGGGTGTTATTGCTGGTGCTGCAGCACATCAGTAATGCAAAGAGCTGAAGACGACTTCGTGTCTATGAGTCGCAACTAGGAAAGGGACAATACGATGTATACTTACGCGCACGGGTAGGCGGGTGGGTGGCCGCCCATTGTTCCGAAAGACCCTTATGAAGGCAAACAAACCATTGTTCCGAAAGACCCTTACGGAGGCAAAAAAACAAACAAAAAAAAAATAGAAAAAAAAAAAAAAAAACTAACGGGCATTTGAGAATCTCAACTGAGGCAATGAGCCGGTGCGGCCACTACACTTCCTTGGGAGGATTGGTTCTTGCGATTAGCGTAGTACTAAGAGAGGGAAGTGTTGGGCTTCATGGCGTAACATTGAAGGGGATCCGATATGGCACAGTTCATATGCATAGGACAACAGGCGCCCAAGACTATGATGAATGCGGTCCGGTGGGTCTACAGTCCTCTGTCCATCGACCCAAGGGTCATTGCAGGTGTTATGATTCCAAAGGGCCGGGGAGGGACGAACGACTAACGTAGTTCTTCTCCGCCTTGGGAGGGCAATCGTCGACTGCGTGCACTGAACGGGGATCTCAGGCTCATAAAGTGAGGAGGAAAGTCCCTAAGGAGTCGTATGTGTATAGCGAAGGGTGTTAGGGAGTTACAATGACTAGGTCACTAGGTACACAGTGTTCCGTCTCCCGCCTTCCGAGGGCAATCCTCTACTGAGTGCACTGAGCAGGGATGAGAGGCTCATGAAGTGAGGATAATAGTCCCTAAGGAGTCATATGTGTATAGGGCAGGGTGCTAGCGAGAGTTATGATAACTCGTCACCCCCAGGGTGGCTGTGCCACAGAAAACCTGATTCTGCCACCAGCGCAACCAACCCCTTCGACAAACAAAAGAGAAGTGCTAAGCAGTCAGCGGGGGCTTCTCTGTTTGAGATGTTCATGATGCATATTGTCTATCGCTGATGAAAAGCATCCATGGGAATGGCTTCCTGGATTAGCAGATCTTGGGAACTAACAGTCTGCGGGGTTCGCTTGTGATGTGAGTAGGTGATGCACTGCTCTCGTGCGCGTTGGATGTGTCTGTGGCCTGGCCTTGTCTGCGGCCCCCCAGTGCCCTTTTTTTCGCCCATTCCACTTGCTTCCCATTTGTTTCCTTGCAGCTGGTCTGTTTGCCGTGCGGTCAGGTTGCTACATTGCTGTTGCTTAGTGCGTCGGTGCGTTGTTGCGCATGCTTTGTTTTTCCGTGTAATGTGCGTGCGTGCTCTGTATAGTTTGGTTGCTGCGTCGGAGCTGACTTGTGCATCACTGCGCTGTCGCCACCTATCTGCCCATCCGCTTGGCTTGCCTTCCCAAAAGTCTTTCCCTGTTTGCTCTGTGTAGTTTGGCTGCTTTTTCAGCACTGCCTTGCGCCTCGCTTCGCTGTCGCTTTGCCGCATGTGCCACAGGCTATCCCCTTTCAACAAACAAGGATCAAGGGGTTCACGACTCTTTTTTTTTTTTTTTTAAAAAAAAAAAAAAAAAAAAAGGGGTTCATGACTCAAAGCATCAATATGGGGATTACCGAGAGAATGTTGCGCGTTCAGCCTCCTGAAGAGTTGGCGCCGCAAATCACAACCAAACAATCTTCCGTCATTAATTTTTATTTGTTTTAACTTTTAACTTTTGCTCTTGCTCTTTGTTTTTGTTTTGTTGCTGTGCCCTTGTACATTGCGCTTCTTCCCTTGCAGTCCTGTATGCATTACAGACTTTTGCAGTCCTGTGTCTACCTTGCTGCTGTTTCGCTTGCTGCCTTCATACATTGCTTTTTCCTGCCTTGTCCCTTGCGGCCTCGTCCCTCATTGCCTTGTGCTTTCCTTCTACATTGGTGGTGGTTTTTCACAAAAGCGGAGGTTTTCGTCACATCATATGAGAAGCGATTGCATATTTTTTCTCGTTCTTCATAAATGCCCTTCGTTGTGGCTTGTCCTCCCTTTTCGAGTCTTTCTTCTACATACTCTTCAGCACAATTCACCAATGATACGATCGTGGACCCGAAGGCTTCACCTCCCATCACCAACTCCCTCCCTCACTCACTCACACACACACACTCGCGCGCGCACACACACACACTCGCAAGCACACAATCAGTTTTATGCATGTCTTCTCTATTTTTTCTTAGTGACATTCTTCCTGTTTTTACTATCTGCCTTCCTGGTATTTTTTCCAAGTATTTTTTTCTGTGACCTGCTGAGCACCTTCAAGTAGTGCCAATTAGTTGGTCGTCCCTTGTTTGGATTGCGTGCAGCACTCTTAGGGGGGGGCACGCAGTTCAGGATGTCTGTGTTTTTCCTGCGGGTGACGACAGATGTCTGTGGGAGGGCCTCCCTGGCTCAGTGGGTGGTGGGAACCGACAGCTGGGGGGGTCACCCGTGATGTGAGAAGGTGGTGTGGGCCATGTGGCGCTTTGCTCCGTATTCAACGAAAAGAGTTTTATAAAAAAAAAAAAAAAAAGACTGCCTTGTCTGCACTCTGCCGCTGCATTGCCGCCCCTCCAGCTTGCGCCGCATGTCGTTCTTTGCAAGCTGCTGTGTTCACTGTGTGGTGTGGCCGCGGTATTGGTGTTGCCCTGTGCTTCACTGCGCTGCTGCCTTGCTCTCGATCCGCGTGCCTTCCCTTCCGCATTCCTTGCTTGCGTGCTGTGTAGTCTGGTAACTCTCTTGATGTTGCCGTTGTCATGATGCTCGTCCGCTCGCGTGCCGCGATCCTCATAATTTGCTGCACCGTTGTCGTGATGCTCGTCCACTTGTCCTTTCATTCCTTGCAATCACTGTTGGTTGGCATTGAAATGCAGTCCTGTTGCCTCGGCAGCATTGCTGCCTGGTGCTTCGCTGAGTTGCAGCTCGCTCCTCTGTTCCGTTTGTGGACAGTCTGCTTCCAACCAGGGTGTTCTTAACGAACCAAAAAAAAAAAAAAAAAAAAAAAACAGGGTCAAAGTGTTCATGACCCAAAGCATCAATACCAGGATTCCGCAGATTGTCGAGGGTTCAGCTTCCTGATCAGTCGGCGACTTGGTGCCAACTCCAACAACAGAAGGTTGTTCTCCCCTGAGTCTTTTTTTTTCTTTCTTTTTTTCGGTCTTTGCCCCCCTTGGGGACTCTTTTTCTTATGTGGTTTTCTGCTTGTTGCCTTGTTGCTAATGCATTCTTCCTGCCTGGTTCACTCCTTCGTTCCCTTTGCTGATGTGTGCTGTTTGTGTGCTCACCTGCCTCCCCCGTTGCCCTTTATCCCTCGCTGCTTTGTGCTGCTCATCTTCCCACCCACCACCCACCTCTCCCATGCCCTCCAGGCCTCGTGCTTCGCTAAATTTGCTCACACTTCTTGTTCAAACTTCAAACCCATTGCTTCCCTGCTTCTTTTGCCTTGCTGCTTGCTGGTCACCTGTGCCCACCCGCCGCTCCCTTGCCCACGATGGGAGTGCTGAAGGATCGAGGTCAATATGTGCACAAGGCTTGGCTTTCTCAAAAAGGGTTGTGTAACTGACGTCGTTCAATGCGTTTCATCGGATTTTCAGTATGGTGTTATCGCATTCAAACATCCGCAGCTCGCCGCGACTTGCGTTGAGGTAGCACTGTCCAACATCTGTCTCTTATACACATCTAGATGTGTATAAGAGACAGCACACACACACACACACACACACACACACACACACACAGAGGCAGGAGGTGGTTCCTCCTTTCTGCGAAGGGAAGAGCAGGTCCGGTTGAATCCAGATTCCAGTCAGACTGAAGGATCAAATTTCCAGGGGGGGGGGGGGTTACATTTCGGTCGTATGTATACCCAAATGGCCATGAACATTACATTACTTTCCAGAAGGGGGGGTGGGGGGGGTTACATTTTTTCAGACTACTTTCCAGTTTCATTGCAGTGAAAAGGAGAAAACAGACAAACAGGTCTATCTCAGTTGGTACACCCAATGAACTGTTGAAATACAGACCCCCAAGTTCGAGTCCAGCTGCGATCAGATGAACAGGAAAGGGGAAAAAAACAGTCTAACACATCAGCAAAGTTGAGCATCGTCCATGCATGACGGCCCAGTGTGACCCTCAAGGGAAATTGCTGTGGAGTCTGGACCTCATATTTGGGCCTTCCATTTGGGCCCCACTCAGCAAGCTCTCATGGTGGTAGGGTCTCCCTCTGGGTAAATTACACAGGGAGATGAACCCACTGCTCTGGGAAGGCAGATGAGCAGACTGCTATGGGGCCAAGCTGTTCGACAGTGGGTTGGGCAAGCCATTTTGCTAATACCCCTCGGCAGCTTTTTGGCCTTCCATTGTCTCTCTGCATGCTGACTTCTCGCCCTTGATTTGCCGAGTAACGGAACTCCCCCCTCCCCCACTTCCCCCCCCCTCCCTCCCTTCCCAAACTTGCTGCCTCTATTGAAGACAATTCTGAGAATGGAACGCTGAGCCAAGACCACGACTATTCACCCCACTCACTGGAAGTCGTTCTTGGGGCCAACTCACACTAGCACGATCTTCAACTCACTGGAAGTCGTTCTCCACGCCAACTCACACTAGTACGATCTTGAATGTATCGGACTTGCTTTTCCGACCCTACCCGGATGCATCTGACCACAATTACGTCCCAAAAAACGTAAGTGGAGTCGTATCGTGAGTAAACCGTCACCGGATTGGTGAATGCATCTGGACGTGAGGACTGTCCCAAAACGGTCCACCGGATTTGAGGTTGGTGACAAAACAGTCCACTTGATCTGCGGTGACAAACACTTTCACAGTTTCACTACTTCGCAGGCGCTCGCAAGAGATAGCTTTTTCAGAGTAATTTGTGAGCCGCGGCATTGGTGTCATGACTAGAACGTAGTAGAAACACATGCTATGTTTCCACAATGGATTGAAAAGTAGGTCCATCATCCATGTAATTTTAACAAAACCCAAAGAGCAGGCGTCGATGAACGGATTGGAGAAAGGCGACACACAAGTCCATTAATCACTGACCACACTAACAGGATCACCGCTGATCCCTCCCTCCCTTTCTTTTGCTGTACCTCCCTTGATCCCTCCCTCCCTCCCTCCCTCCCTCCCTTCCTGTACCTCTCTGCCTCTCACTTCCCCTGCTCACTCTCCATCCTTCACTCCACCACCATCTTCACTGATGACCGATGGGTGCTACACAGTTACTTCTTAGTAGCCACGTTTCCTGCCGCTCGCTTAATGTCGTCCATCTTCTTGAACTGGTCCATCATGAGCTCGTACTCACACTTCTCGTATGCGTGCCGCTCATCCACGCATTTCCAGGGGAGGTACAATGTTTTCTCGCGGCATCGGTTCAACGGAATGAGAAGATGTGCACAGTAATCCCGTGAACCGAGGACAAGTCGCGCCTTGGCCATCTCGTGCCTGGTCACCTTCATTTCCCTCACCTCAGATGCCATGACTGCCGTATGTCCTCCCTCCGCTCAAACACACTCGCTTCCTCCTCTGCCTGCACACACCTGCAAATCTATGTAAGATTCTCAAGCATTTCACCTACATCCTCTCTCTCTCTCTCTCTCTCTCTCTCTCTCTCTCTCTCTCTCTCTCTCTCTCTCTCTCTCTCTTCCCCCGACTTGGTGAGCCGTCAGATGCCACGGGTTTCTTCACTCGTCTGAGCTACCTGCACTGCATACACAGAGGCCAAGCTTAATGTTGACGTCAGCAGCACACACCTGTCAAGTGGGGAGAGCACGGAAAAGGTGGGGATGGGGATGGGGATGGGGATGGGCTCAGAGGGAAAGCTTAATGCTGACGTCAGCACCACCCTTAGTAGACTATTAAAGCAATGCTTAATAATCGACCAAGGGTCAGGCCCCAGTGGCGCTATATTCATGTTTTCCAGATAGTAATATAGCCGCAGTTGGGCCTGCCCCTTAAGCTCAGACTCTGGGAAATGTGCCTAGAATCATACATGGGCTATGGCTGTATAGGGGGGCTAGATGAGGATAGGGGAGAAGGTGGTGGACTGGATGAGCAGTTTTGTAACGAGTTGGATGCGGGAACCGGATGGATGGCCATTGTTCGAGGAATTGGGTGCGCCGCCGACAGCATAGGTCGTGCTTGGGCGCGTTGCGATCGCCGATTTAAGAAATGTTTTTTTGGAAGGTTTGGTGTGTGTCCTCTTCCACTGCATTCCCCAGTTTTTTTTTGTTTTTTTTTTTTGACTGTCAAAAATGGAAAGAGAAACACTCGGCGAACCACAGACTGTGATTCTTTCTTTCTTTTTAATTAAAAAAAAAAAATGGAAAGAGAAACACTTGGGGAACCAAAGACTGTGATTTAAAAAAAAAAAAAAAAAAAAAAAAAAAAAGGCTCTGATTCTTTTTCTCGAGTGCTGAAATTGCTTGACGATTCGTAGAAAACTCGACTCAAAAATGGAATGATGGCAAAAAGCATACAGACAATACAATATATTATAAAAAAACACACAAGTGAATGAAACTTGGCTTTGTTTCGAGTTTCTCTAGCTCTGCGTTGCCGCCTTGCCCTCGAACTCCGCAATGACCTCCGCCGACACGTTCCCTGCGGGCTCCCACGTGTTTTCGTCATCATCTGCCCACTTCACAAGGTACTCTACACGACCGTCACTCTCCCTCTTATCAAGGACCTCCTCTGCCACAGCATATTCCAGCCCAGATTCGAAGTCCTTAATCAAGTCCTCCCCGACGTCTTCGGCGGAAATCCACGAGTCCTCGCTATCGTCGCTCCACCGCACGAGGTACTCTACAACTCCATCTCCGTCAATGCGCTTCTCCAAGACCTGCTCAACCTGCACATCTTCGAAGATGGCCTCATCTAAAGCTCTGACGACTTGATCGAGAGCTATTCGGCGGGCGAAATGCATAGGGTTCGCTTGAGGAGTGCGATCCAGCAATTGTCGCGCCAGATCGAGCACGCTTCGTCCCTGGTTGTCAATGGCCTCCGGATCGGCGCCAAGCTCTAACAAGGCTTTGACGCATGTCAGGTGGACGTAGCCTGCAGCAATGTGCAGGGGTGTATAGCCATCCTTATCGTGAGGGTCGACGGCAGCGCCGACGCTTCCGAGCAAGCGGATGGCTTTCTCAGACCCGAGGCCAGCTGCAAAATGCAACGCTGTCCGTTGATTTTCGTCGATGGCGTTCACATCCCTCCCTTGATCCAACAGATCAGTCAGTTGCGCCGCATCGGCTTTACGAGCGGCTTCCCACCACGGGATCTCGAACTCGCGGCTTATGTCCATGGCCACGTTTTCCGCCGGCTCCCAGCTGTCGGGATGGTCGTCCATCCACTTGACCAGGTACTCAGTCTTTGTCCCATCCTCCGTAACACGGCTAGCGAGAATGCAATCAACTACTCCGAACGCCTCGGCACCCTGCCCTTCATCCTTATTCTCCCCCGCATCATCATCCCCGTCCTTCTCCAAGTCCTCTTCGTCTTCTCTATCCTCTTCCTCCTCCTCATTCACGCTCTGAACAGAACTTCCCACTACATGCGCAACTCCTCGCTGACGAGGTATTGAAGGCCACCTTGCCCCTCCTCTTCTGTGAAATCTGACGGCAGAGGAAACGGCAGCAGAGACGGAGGAATCCGACACCCAAGAGCTGCAGCACGGACGGGCAGCTTGTTGCTTCACAGCCGCTTCCCAGCAATCGTCACCCCTTCTTGCTACAGACACCATCGCCCCGGACGGCGATGCTTGTCTGCAAGAAGCGCCGTGCGCACCCTTCGGCAGAGGCGACGAACCAGTCCGCAAGGAGACAGCGCTGCACTTGTGCTGGAAACTGAGCCCAAGCCCCGACTTCTTCACAGCTGCACCTCTGGGCAAGAATGCGGCCGTTGAGCGAGATGTCCCGTACGCGGAGGGAGGCATGTGATCAGATCGCCGTACGATCCCTCTCTTATCCTGCTGCAATGGAGAAGGGGCTGTTTCCACAGCTCGCGGAGGAAGGACAGCACCCGCAGCGGCCATGCCGCTTCTTCTTAATCGCGCGGGGAAAAAACTCTCTCTCTCCTCAACTGCTCAGCCTCCTTCTGACAATTACACAAGACCGCTCCTGTCACTGGTCTGTCCCCCCGTACAGATACTTAGCCATGCATGTGAACTGACTCTGCGCTCAGCAGCATCATAAGCAAAAAAAGCTAGACCTGTGTGGCTCTCAGCTGAGCTGTGTGCTACCTTCCTACTACATGCAAGGACCACAGGTAATCATATCACCATTTCGGTGCTCTGAGATTGATGAAGCAAGGCGATTGGCGGCGGCGGGGGGGGTGGGGGAGGGCAGGGGAGGGGGGGGAATAATCCTGAGATAAACCATACTCAAATCCTCGGGTAGGCTAGCAGAGTCGACCAACGCGGAGCCAGCCCTGGGCAGGCCACACCCCACCGGCCGGTTCAAAATGGGGGGGAAAGAAATTGAAAAGAAAAGAAAAAACTTCGAAAAAACTGGCTCCATGCCAGATCTGCAGCACTCAGCCTGAACAGTCAGAATCCATCCTTAAGGTTTGAACCCGATTACGGTTCAGTTATGGGGGAGTGAAGGGTGTAATCAGGTTTTTTATGGGTTTAGAGGCCTTTTAAGGGGGTTTAACAGGCGTCGAAAGGTTGTCAAAGGGGTCCGAAGGGGTGTAATCACGTTTTTCATGGGTTTAAACTTTTAATAACCAAGTTTCAAGGGGGGAAAAGAACGTTTAAAGGAGTCTTTTTTGAAGGAGTTTTTTAAGGGGGTTTAACGGGGGTACAAAAGGCGTCAAAGGGGTCCAAAGGGGTGTAACCAGGGTTAACCAGGATTTTTTTTCATGGGTTTAAACTTTAAAGAAGAGTTTAAAGGGGGGGGAAAGAAAGTTTTCAACGAGTTCAGATGATTTTAAAGAAGTTTAAAGGGTTTAAAGGGGGTGTTATGGGGGTTTAAAGGGTGTCAAAGAGGTCCAAAGGGGTTTGAAGTGTCTCGAAGAGGTATGCATAAAGTTATTTGTTCTATTACTTCTTTTTCGCAGGTTGAGTTTAATAAGGTACTTTGACGCTGGACCCGTTTTCCAGCAGGTGCTGCTCCCCACCAATAGATCCTTCTCTGTATCGTTCCAATTTTAACGGTTGTCTACAACGACAGATGTTTTGAATCTGCTTCTTCTTTTTCACGCTGTGCTTTTCCACAATTTTTTTTTTTTTTTTTTTCCTTGTCTTTCATAATTTCATTACTTTTTTGGGATTTCACGCTGAGACTGCCCAGGACCTTTCCAGACCCGACCTACCGGCTTTCCCCCCAACATGATGCACCCTGATATTGAATGTATGCAAGCTATATTGCGGGTCAGGTACAGGCAAAATAAGGGTGCATTCTGTTGGGGGCAAGACGGTAGTAGCCCCACCAAGCCTGCCCATCGGACAACAGCACAGCGAGAGCCACCCCCAGGCCGGGCAGCCAACCTAGCAGGCTATCATCTTCCCCTCCCGAACACAACGCACCCTCATAATGAAAGTATGCAAGTTATATTTCCAGTCCGGTACACAGCCGGGGAAGACGCCAGTTGCCTCAACCCCCCCCGAGCTATGAACAGGGACCCCCTCAAACCCCCAAATCCCTCAGATAATTGGGACCCTCATAATGAATGTATGCAAGCTATATTTCCAGTCCGGTACACAGTCATAATGAGGGTGTTTTTGTCTGTGTTCAGGGGAAGACGCCAGTTGCCTCAACCCCCCCCCCCCACCAGTTATGAACAGGGACCCCCTCAAACCCCCAAATCCCTCAGATAATTGCGGCCATGTCTCGCTGTGGGCCAGCAAGGGTATGTTTATTAGGATTTTTTCTGCAACACACAAAAGAAAGGAAAAAGGAAAAAGGAAAAATAAGAAACAACGTAGACAAGCTAAATATACCCCTCTCTCTCTCTCTCTCTCTCTCTCTCTCTCTCTCTCTCTCTCTCTCTCTCTCTCTCTCTCTCTCTCTCTCTCTCTGTGTCTCTGTTGGGTCAGTCGGCCCAAGAAATAATACCAACCACCCATTGGCTCTCTCTCTCTCTCGACTACAGAACACTCTACATGCATTTAAACACTTTTTGGACTCTATACATTCAAAATCACGAACTCGTCCAAATGCACCCGGTCCAGAAAGCGTCCAAATGCATGTTACAGTGTTGTCCAGTGGAGGCAGGCACATTCATAACATTCATTACACGAGAGCATTCATTCATCAACAATGACAGATCACCTAGCATAGGCATTATTTGTTGACAACATCAAAACAAAAGCACTTCCCAAGCAGAGGCCAACATCATGGAAGATAGACACTGGGCCTGTTTTGTGGGACCGGAGGGAAATTAGATTTTTTCTTCGGGGGGGGAGGGGCAGGGTTGCAGGCAGGGGATAGAGGGGGCAGGCGAAGGAGGGGGGGGGGGGGGGGGGGGAGAAGGCGACAAGGAAAATGCATGCAGAGGAGGATGAAGAAACTTCTTTTTTGCATCTTCTTTTTGTCTTTTCGTTTTGTGATGTGAACAGAGACAGACGAACCGGACCAGCTCAAAGTCTACAGAACCGCGCACCGCCCACAACCGCGCGCGGCGCGGCACGGCACGGCGTACAATGCGCGAAAGCAATCTCGAAACCGAAATTAACCATCGAAGCAAGCAAGGAGCACATCAGCACAGAGAGACAAAGAGTTGGCCACAGCTGGTGGGCTATGGCTTCCGCCGCAGCCATAGCCCCCCCCTCACCGCTAAATAAGAATGACGAATGACGACCCGGGCCCAGGTCCCGCCCACTCACCGGAATTCTGTTCAAATTCCGACCGTTGATTCTCAAGATCTAACGAGATAACGAGATCTAACGAGATCTAACGGGCAGAAATGAAGAATGAGGTCCGTCAAGTAGGACTTGGTGGCCCCGTGGAGCTTAGGCCTCAGTCCCCTACTACCATCTTTCAGTCCAGTAGAATGCACGGTCGTTATAGCTGGCTGCATTTGGCACAACTGTCAGGCCAGATGCAGCGATAATGGCCGCCGGGCATTGCATTCTATTGGCGGGTGAAGACGGTAGTTTCAACCACTGCCAGAGGCGGCCTCTAAATTGTTTCATTTCAAGACCTTTCCTTTTTCGTCTAATTTCTTTTTTTATGTCTTTTTTTTTTTGGACATTTTCTTATTTTTCTTCTTTTAAATATACAGAATCAGCACCCTATCGCGGAGAACAGAGGAATTCTTCGCTGGATGCAGATAGTGATTGTACGGAATTCTTCGCTGTATGCAGACAGTGATTGTACGGAATTCTTCACTGTATGCAGACAGTGATTGTACGGAATTCTTCGCTGTATGCAGACAGTGATTGTACGGAATTCTTCGCTGTATGCAG